CTCTCTCTCTCTCCCTTCCTCTCTGAAATCTCTAAAAATATATTTTTTTAAAAAAAGGGGGGCGGGGGGGAGACACTGGGAAGAAAATACCACTGGCTCCTCCAAAGCAGAAAAGGAGAGAGCACTGAATCAGCCTTACTGTGGCCCAGCAGTTAAGACTGTTAAGAGAAATAGGAATGCAAGAAGTAAAAGAAGAAAACCACTGAAGGGAGAAGAAAAGGGATACTGACACGGGCGTGATGTAGCGTGTAGATGACAGATTCTGGAACGACACACAGCTGGGTTCGAACTGTGCTCAGTCTATTTCTGAGCCATATAAACTTGAGCAAGTTATTATCCTCAAAGCCTTGGATGCGTCACATGTACAACAAGCGTGATACGCACAGACTAAGAAGACTAGGCATGGCAGTGCAAGCTCAATGGTAGCTTAGTATGTTATAGAACAACCACAAACTCTACCAGCAAGATCACAACTCCCAGCCCTCAGGGAAGGGCAGAGGCAGCCCCACAACACCCACAGCTCCCCCACCTGCTGCCATGAGGATGGAGTAGGCAGGTCTGCTCAGCCCCAGAAGTGACTTGCTTCCAGGCAGCAAGTTCCCTGAGATCCATTTATTTTTTTTTAAATATTTTAATTGGCCGAAACCGGTTTGGCTCAGTGGATAGAGCGTCGGCCTGCGGACTGAAGGGTCCCAGGTTCGATTCCGGTCAAGGGCATGTACCTGTGTTGCGGGCATATCCCCAGTGGGAGATGTGCAGGAGGCAGCTGATCGATGTTTCTCTCTCATCGATGTTTCTGACTCTCTATCTCTCTCCCTTCCTCTCTGTAAAACATCAATAAAAATATATTAAAAAAATATATATATATTTTAATTGATTTCCAAGAAGAGAGAGGGAGAGAGATAGAAACATCAATGAGGGAGAACCAAGATGGCGACATAGGTTAACGCCGGAGTTTGCTGCTTTGAACAACTACTTCAAAAGTGAAACTAAAAAACGGAACGGACATCACCCAGAACCACAGGAACGCTGGCTGAGTGGAAGTCCTACAACTAGGAGGAAAGAGAAACGCATGCGGACACTCAGAGGAGGTGCAGTGCTGAAGTCAAATTCTGAGGTGCGGAGTGCGCGGAGCGGGCTGGCGGCGGAGGGCGCGGTTGGCGTTTTCAATCGGGAGGGAGTCGCAGACTCTGAGCTCCAGATACGGGCGAGTCTTTAGGGACCCAGACTCAAACGGGAGAAGTGGGACTGTCTGGCTTCGGTCAGAGCGAGTGCAGCTTTCTCTCCGAGGTTTGCAGCGGGTGCTGGGACTCAGAGAGGCAGAGCCCCTGGGGACAGGACTGAGAGCAGCCATAACTGCTCTCTCCGGCCCACCCTCTTGATCCTGTTCGACCCGCCCCGCCCAAGCCCTGCACAGAGGCATTTGCCGGATAGCCTCAGGCAAACGCCAGATTAGCACCTCCCTAGAGGACAGAAGTTCTCTCACTGCAGACACAGCTGATTCTCATAGCCACTTGGCCTGGAGGTCAAACCCTCCCTGGTATTAGCTACAACAATCAAGGTTTAACTATAAGCTGTGCACAAAGACCACTAGGGGGTGCACCAAGGAAGCATAACAAAATGCGGAGACAAAGAAACAGGACAAAATTGTCAATGGAAGATATAGAGTTCAGAACCACACTTTTAAGGTCTCTCAAGAACTGTTTAGAAGCCGCCGATAAACTTAATGAGATCTACAAGAAAACTAATGAGACCCTCAATGTTATATTGGGGAACCAACCAGAAATTAAGCATACACGGACTGAAATAACAAATATTACACAGACTCCTGACAGCAGACCAGAGGAGCGCAAGAATCAAGTCAATGATTTGAAATGCGAGGAAGCAAAAAACACCCAACCGGAAAAGCAAAATGAAAAAAGAATCCAAAAATGCGAGGATAGTGTAAGGAGCCTCTGGGACAGCTTCAAGCGTACCAACATCAGAATTATAGGGGTGCCAGAAGATGAGAGAGAGCAAGATATTGAAAACCTATTTGAAGAAATAATGACAGAAAACTTCCCCCACCTGGTGAAAGAAATGCACTTACAGGTCCAAGAAGCGCGGAGAACCCCAAACAAAAGGAATCCAAAGAGGACCACACCAAGACACATCATAATTAAAATGCCAAGAGCAAAAGATAAAGAGAGAATCTTAAAAACAGCAAGAGAAAGAAACTCAGTTACCTACAAGGGCATACCCATACGACTGTCAGCTGATTTCTCAACAGAAACTTTGCAAGCCAGAAGGGAATGGCAAGAAATATTCAAAGTGATGAATACCAAGAACCTACAACCAAGATTACTTTATCCAGCAAAGCTATCATTCAGAATTGAAGGTCAGATAAAGAGCTTCACAGATAAGGAAAAGCTAAAGGAGTTCATCACCACCAAACCAGGATTATATGAAATGCTGAAAGGTATCCTTTAATAAGAGGAAGAGGAAGAAAAAGGTAAAGATACAAATTATGAACAACAAATATGCATCTATCAACAAGTGAATCTAAGAATCAAGTGAATAAATAATCTGATGAACAGAATGAACTGTTGATTATAATAGAATCAGGGACATAGAAAGGGAATGGACTGACTATTCTTGGGGGGGAAAGGGGTGTGGGAGATGCGGGAAGAGACTGGACAAAAATAGTGCACCTATGGATGAGGACAGTGGGTGGGGAGTGAGGGCGGAGGGTGGGGCGGGAACTGGGAGGAGGGGAGTTATGGGGGGGGAAAAAAGAGGAACAAATGTAATAATCTGAACAATAAAGATTTAATTAAAAAAAAAAAAAAGAAACATCAATGATGAGAGAATCATTGATCGGCTGCCTCCAGCACACCTCCTACTGGGGATCGAGCCCGCAACCTGGGCATGTGCCCTTGACCGGAATCGAACCAGGGACCTCTCAGTCCACAGGCTGAGGCTCTATCCACTGAGCCAAACCGGCTAGGGCCACATGGCTTTTAGAAACAAGTTCGTTAAAGTTCTGGTCATTGTTTGCAAGCCCAAAGGACATGAAACCAAAGGCGTTAGTGTCCAGTACGTGCAAGATTCAAAGGCATGCACGCTAGTAAAAGGTTAGTGTCTCTTTGGCGTTACAAGCTCTGCTGGGACTTCAGCTTGTCCAGGGGCTGGCTGCTTTCACCAGTCCCCAACTTGCAGCTGCATGCCCACGCCCCACGTGGCTCACGTGGAGCCTCCAACCACTCCACACGCTGATGTCTCTGGCTCTGCTAATTCCCAAGCCAAGATTCCCTGTTTGTGTGGCACATGCTGCTTTCAGCCTGGAATCCTCTTTCCTTTTTCACCCATTTGACTCCTACTGACCTTCCAGACCCAACTCTAGTGTCACCCCCTCCACGAAGCTCCCCTGATGTCTCCACGGAGGACATACAACCTTATCTGACATTTTGTTTTTTTACCTTACCTGTCTCCCTGTCTAGTCTATGAGCTTCTAGAAAGCCAGTCTCTGACACAGAGCAGTGACCTATTTCCATTTCTATTTCCTCCTCCCCAACTGTGAGAAACATGGTTTGAGTGAGAGACTGCCCCTTAAGGGCAGTATCTTCTTACCCTTCCATCCCTGGAACACCCACATCTACTTTTTTCTTAAAAAGCAGCTTCTGACTAAGCATCTGTGTCTTAGTCTTTGGAGCTCAGTGAGGCAAGAGTGGAACAATCCTTTCAGATTCCAGGAGTTAATCCTCCCAAAGAGCCGGCTAAACACGCACAGGCACTCAAACGGACCAGAGCTGCAAAATACACGCACACAAGCCAAGATAGGGCCCTACTATCTTGGGCTTCGCCTGCTGGCTTCCTAGCCTTCCAGAGCGGTGGGAGGCGCTGGGTTCCTGTCCCTCTGGAAAGCCCTGATAGTCCCTACTGCACCGCAGGGCTCACTGCAGGCAGGGGGCCATCCCCGGGCATAGCTACCCACTATGCTTACAGATGTGGCTGCTGCAAAGTACTCCTGAGGTCGTAGCTTCAGATAGTTTACGAGAGCACTTCCCAAGCGTGGTCCACAGCATGCTAATGCACCCCCCGTTCCACTACATCAGCGGTTCTCAAACTGTGGGTCGTGACCCCTTTGGCGGTCGAACGACCCTTTCACAGGGGTCACCTGCATATCAGATATTTACATTACGATTCATAACAGTAGCAACATTACAGCTATGAAGTAGCAACGAATAATTTTATAGCTGGGTCACAACATGAGGAACTGTATTTAAAGGGCCAGAAGGTTGAGAACCACAACACTATATGCTTCAGACCCTCCACTGAAGCACATGAACACAGCAAAGACTTTGGGCAGCAAGGGCTGCTATAAAGACACTAGTTTAACTGTACATAAAGCAGCCTTTCACAAACTAGTCTGAAGAAACCCTTCCTCTATGTCACAGTTTTTCAAGTCCCGAGGATCACACTTTGGGGAAAATCTCATCCATCCTGATAGTCTCCCACTCCCACCCCAAAGAACTGCTAGGGGAACAATATTAAGAGACTGTTACTGCCCTGGCCAGGAAGTTCAGTTGGTTGGAGCGTCACCCCGTACACCGAAAGGTCTCGGGTTCAATTCCCGGTTAGGAAACATACCCAGGTTGCAGCTTCAACCCCCCCGTTAGGTGAGTACAGGAAGCAACCGATTGATGTTTCTCTCTCCTCTCTCTCAAATCAATAAAACACAGACACACACAGACTGTTATTAATATTAACCTAAGACCAGAACCAAACCGAATTCCAAACTGAAACTATTAGCACTCCACGGTAATAGAAAGCTTTGCCTCAACCTAGGCCATTAGTAGAGAAGCATTAGGTGTCTTGGGTGTAGGGAGAGCAGTAGCAAAATTCACTGCAGGGTATGTCTGGATCCCAAGCACAGTCCCTGGATCCACACCACTCCTTACCCAGATTTATGTAGAGCAACTCCTAGCAGGGAAAATAAAACGGATCCACGGGTCGTCTGCTGGCACAACTGAAAACAGAGGAGAAGCTGAGAGACTGAAACAGAAGAGAAGACGCGGCAAAGGGAGCAGAGCTGACTCTGAGAAGCGTGTGGTAAGGAGCCAATCTCTGCTGGGCAGAGGGCGGGAGGGTGGAGCCAGCACAGCAGAGAACACCCAAGGAAGACTAATTCCTTGGAGAGCCCAGAGAGCCCAGCTACTTCCTGTCAACCTCTAAACAGGTTCTCTCCGCAACCAGTGAAACTCTCCGTGGGAACAGAAAGGAGATTTTTCCAACCCCGGCTGGGGAACGCCAGCTCCGTGCACAGATGACCCACTCTCCAAGAGACGTGCCACCGGATGGCTAACGGAGCACAGCCCTTCCCCTCGACCGGACTCAGGGCACCACAAGTCACAGCCACCACTTACTTTTCAGATGGTGAAAGACCTTCACAGGGTGGGCATCATGGGCATGGCCGGGCCAAAAAGACCAAAGGTATTTCAGGTCTCCCGGGTCGTGTCTCCGTTGGAAGCTGGCTATGGGTTGTGTTAACTCCACCAACTCCAACTTTGGAAAGAAAAAGGGACATGTCAACAGACAGCAAACAAACAAACAAAAACAAAACTGGTACGCAAAGCATGTCTAATAGGATATAAAGCTCAACAAATTCATCCCTGGGGGAAGCTGACTCACCGAGGGAAGCTTGCTTACTCACTGGGGTGTGGGGTGACAGGGGAAGGGCCCCAAGGAAAAACACAACAGCAGGTGTGGGGCCAATCCTGGGTGTGTACAAACACACACTCAGGCGTGTGCTGGCCCGACAGTCAGCCAGGTGCTGGGGAGAAGGGGGGGCACGGATAGAGGCACATCGGAGTGGGGAGAACAGCGGAGGACAGGGATGGGAGGGGGGGGACTGAGGGCGAGAGATGGGAGGGCAGGGATGAGGAGCAGAAGGGGACTCCGTGAAAACCTGTGCGTGCCAGATGCTGTAAAATGTCCTCCTTAAAGCTCAACCCTACGGTGCAGAGGCTCAGGGCGCTTAAAACACGTATAGACGCTGGCGGAGCGGCCACGCTGAGGACGGAGATGCCCCCTCCCTTCCACTCCCGAGCTCACTTGTCTTCAATTGTGTGAGAAGGGCCATCACCGGAGCCCTTTCCGGGAGGAGGGAGCGAGAAGATAGGGAAATGGAAGAAACGGGGCAACGAAGGATTGCAGGAGAGAGGGGCGGGCAGGTTTGGGCTCCGTGCACCCAAGCGGCTCATTGTTCGGCATTTTCTGTGTGCCTTCTTGTAAAAGAACAGTCCCTGCCCTCCAGGAGCTTAGCGTGGGGTTTGCAGTCAAACAAGTAAACAGACACCCGTGTGCGAGGGTAGGAGGTGCCCAGGGGAGGCAGGGAGGGCGCTCCGCGTGCTCAGCGAATGCCGGCTGAGACAAAGGGCCGCATACGAGGAGGAGGCCGGGCAGGGGGAGAAATGTGGCGGGGAAGCCCGGGCAGGCGGGGGCGACGAGGAGTGTCGGGGGACCCCACCCCGAGTCCCGCCCCTCTCCTCCGGGCCAAGGCGGGCCCGGCGGCAAGACCGGGGCGTGGGAACGCCGGCCCGCCCGCCCGGATCCGTACCCTCGGGGCCCCCAGCATCCCACTCCAGGGCCCCAAACATTCCCCCCCGGGCTGCTCCAGACTCGCCGGGCGGGGCCGGACCCACCCGTCCCCACCCGTCCCCACCACCCGGCGCGCTCGCCCTCTCACCTTCACCTTCCCGGCCTCACGGCGGCCATCATGCCCCCAACGTCACCAGCAAGCGCCCGCCCGAGGGGAGGCGGGAGGAGGAGGGAGGACGCGCGTGTCACCAGCCGCCGCAGGTTGGCCGCTCTGGCCCGGGGGAGTCGTTGGACTCCAAGCTCAGCTGATTGGACCCCACCACTCTTTAGGGGTCAGGGGGGCGTCTGCTCAGTGCCTGGAGAGGCAACTCCGCGCGCTCCTTCGCCGCCCGGGCGTCCCAAGCCGATGACGTAAGCCTCGGGACTCCCGCTGCATTCTGGGGGCTGTAGTTCCGCCGGGAGCCTGTCTGGGCTGGGGTGGGCGGAGCCTCCAGCTGTCAAGGGGCAAAGAAAACAAGGGCGTGGACGGAGGTTCCCGCTCTTTTGCTTGGTGGCCGCGGGCCTGATCCCGAGGGCTTTGCTAACTCAGGAATCTAACCTTTCGTTTGTAATATTAGAGACGCGCTCTCCAGAGGAAAACGGGAAGCAAGTTGGGGCCGGATGCCCTTCGACTGACTTTGAGAAGTAAGAACAGTAACAACAGTCACCGAGCTGGTACTTAACATACCTCATTTCACTTAACCTTCACAACAGTTCCAGGAGTCGCAGAGAGATCACCCCAGCTCACGTGCGCAGATCACCGGGCCTCATTATGTGCCAGGCACTAGGACACAGCAATAAACAGGTCTCCTGATGGCCACAGGCACGGAAGGGAAGGCCCCGAGTCTGGGCTCCCCAGTATGGCAGCCACCAGTCACATGTGCCCTGGGAGCTCCTAGATGTGCTGTAAGACTTAGGACCAGAAAAGTATGCAAATGATCTCATATCTTTGCATTGATTGTGTGTTAAAGTTGTGAACTTTAAAAAGGGGGTTCTAGGGAAAGTAACCTCAACAGGTGATCTGAGCATAAATTCATAACTGGGTAGGTGATGGTGGGTAGTCACACCCCAGGCATACAATTTCTTTACTAAAAGGCTTATCTTTGCCTTAGGCAAGCCCTGTCCATGGTTTCTGTCCTTCTAGGTTAACACACCTTTGAAATGCCCCCTTTCAGACCCCTCCAGACAGCACATAATCTTAACTATTCTGTAATCCCATTCCCAAATGGCTTCCTCCCACCTTCATGTAACCTTCCTGACATTCCCTCCTTAATTTCAAACACATAAAAGCTGCCAAACTGTTACTCTCTGGACCATTTGAGATCTTGCTCCCTGGCATAAGTCATCAGTTTGGCTCAAATACTCATAAAAATTCTCTACAGGGGCATCAATGGGGGATGTCATACTTTCAACAACAAAGATTTTTTTAAAAAAAATTCTCTACAGGTTTGGACATTTCTCGTGTAGACAAAGTGATAATATTTTGGATAAATGGAATTAAATGAAATATATACCACAATTAAGTTCATCTGTTTCTCTTTACTGTTTAAAATATGGCTACTGCCCTAGCTGGTTAGGCTCAGTGGATAGAGCATTGGCCTGGGGACTGAAGGGTCCTAGGTTCGATTCCAATCAAGGACACATGCCCAGGTTGTGGGCTCAATCCCCAGAAGGGGGCGTGCAGAGGCAGCCAATTAATGATTCTCTTCCATCATTGATGTTTCTCTCTCTCCCTCTCCCTTTCTCTCTGAAATCAATAAATATATTTAAAAAATAAGTAAAATTGTTTTAAAAAACCAGCTTTATTATAAATAGAAAAAAAGCTTTAAAATATGGCTACTAAAAAATCTAAAATTACATAAGTGTCTCACGGTGATACTGTGGTTTATAATAAGAAATCTATATAGTTGGTCTTTGTCCACTGTTCCTGGCACATAGCTCCTGTATCCTTATAGTTCTCTGTTTAAGAACCATAGGGGCATCTTTTGTTGTAATATTTACTTTTGTCCTTAGTTCCTGGAATAGCTCCGGGGCTATTCAGATAAAGGTGAAAGTGGTCTGTCTTTTGTTACTTGTCAGAGCCCCTTTCAACCAAATCTGAACTGATGTTAATGAATGACTTTTGGAAAGCCTCTAAGGACAGGAGCTGGTTGCCAGGGGAACCAGTGATGTGATTAGAGAGTTGGAACTTTCAGCCCTACCACTTCATCCTCCTGGGAGTGGAGAGGGGCTGCACATTGGCTGGATCACTAATGGCCAATAATTTAGCCAATCATGCCTCAGTAATGAAGCCTCCATACAAATCCTTGAATTAGGGGGTTCAGAGAGCTTCCAGGTTGGTAAACACTTTCAGGTGGTGGGAGGGTGGTACCTCGGAGAGAGCATGGAAACTCCTCACCCCTCCCCACATACCTTGCCCTATGCATCTCTTCCACTTGGCCATTCCCAGATTGTATCCTTTTTATAATAAACTGGTAACCTAGTAAGCAAACTGTTGTCCTGAGTTCTATGAGCCACTGTAGAAAATTAATCTAACCAGAGGAGGGGGTTGTGGAAATCTCTGACTTGGTATAACTGGTCATTGTGGGCAAATACAATTTTTCCTCCTACTCTTTTAAGTTCCTCTGGCTGGACTAATAATCAAATTAACATGAGACGGATTTATGGGAGAAAATGACCAGCTTTGTTAATTATGTACATACATGGGTTCCTTAAGAATATGAGACCCCCAGGACAGATGGGGCAGTGAAGGCTTATATGCCATCTTGAGCTAAGGAGAAGGGTGGGGGCTGTGATTTGGGACTTCAAAGGGTAGGAAGGCAATGCCTGTGGAAACAGAAAAGCAAATGTTTGCTGGGTCATCTTTAACAATGGGACACCGAGAGGACCCTTAACTGGCTAGGTTCCTCCCTATCACATCTATTTCATACTAAACTAACCTATAGTTATAGATGAATATACTCCCTTCCTGGAGCAGGTCTTCTACCTAAATTCTTTTGATTTTTTTTTTTTTTTAAGAAAAGAAGGGAGGGGCATCAATTATTGTTCCAGTCATTTATGCATTCATTGGTTGATTCTCCTATGCGCCCTGACCAGGGATGGAACGGCCAATCTTGGTGTATCAGGATGAAATGCTAACTGAGCCACCTGGCCAGGGCTAAGCCCTTTTAGTGAGGAGGCTAGGGGGAAAGTCAAAGATTCTTTCTGATCGTTTGTTTCTTAACCAGCTTAAAATAACCAGGATCCCAAAAGGTGTATTTTGGGTGGCAAACTCTGCTTCCTCTCCTGGCCAGCAGCCCGGGTGACTACCTGGATTTGTGATTTGTGTTTGAATGGGGGGAGGGGCAGCCTGGTGGGACGGAGTCCTTAACGTGCTATCTCCGGGTAGATAGTGTCCGAATTGAGTTAAACGCCTAGGACAACCCTTTCGGTGTCTGCTGAGAGCTGGAGAATTGTTTGGTGTGGGGAAAACCCCACACATTTGGTGAGCAGAGGCTTCAGGCGTGGAGTATTGTATGGAGCACAAAGGAAAACAATAGCGTTTTCTACTTCTCCTGGACATCGCTGATCAGAAACCACGGAAGAATCTCACCACAAACGCCGCAGGAGGCAACCGGTACCCGCTGGACCCACCAGCTTACCAGCTCCCAGGGAGGCTGGTCAGAGGAAGCTGCCCCGACCTGTTGCCTAGTGAACCAGTGGCCGTGAGTCAGACTCTGGACTACGGAGCTGCAACCAGACTGCCTCCGGGTGTGGCCAGGCCTCCGGGACGTGATTCACATCACATCAGGCCGGCAGCACTGCCTTGTGGTGCCGCTGACCGCTTCCGCCTCCATGCTCCTGGCCTCCCTAAGGAGACAGGGACGAAATTCACCAAATCCCATTTCCTTTCTCTTCCTTGGCATCTTGCCTGGAGGTCCTCCTTCGTCAACATTATTCTGTCCATCCCCTCCTGGGAGCTCTGGCCTCGGCCCAGGCCACCTGCCTGGACTGCCGGAGCCTCAGAACCCGTCCCCAGCCTTCTAGTCTGTCCCCCCGCCCCCACCTGCCCCCACCTTCTCTCTGGAACAGCATCAAGCCGTGAGGCCCTCAGACAAGACTCCAGTTCGGCTGACAGTGTTATTGGGGAGATCAGGGCCGGGGGAGTGTGTGTTTGCAGATCTTTCTCTTCTCCGTTTTCTGTTTCTATGTTGATGGACTTTTTCACTGAGGACTGGACTTGCATTGCAATCAGAAAAAAGATAACAGTTAGAAATACCCCTAACGCACGTGCCTTATATATGCGAGAGCAGTTCAGAAAGGGCGCCCAGGAAACAGATTGGACATGGCTGCTTCTGGGGAGAACTGGGCAGTCAGGGGTGAGAGATGAGAAAGCGAGTAAGATTGAATTTACCCTGGGCCAAATGCCTCCAATTAAATAGTAAAGCCCAAGTCTTCCTAGATAAAGTCCATCTCTCCTTAGCCTGGGGAAATGGGCTTTGACTGCCTGATCCCTTCCACCCCACCCACACCAGCCAACCTGTGTCCTCTGACCCCACCCGTCTGTGCCTGGCCGGCTCCAGCGCCTGACATGGAGTCTCTCTGCTTAAGAGAGGACCCTCCCCCCCCCCCCCCAAGGCCTGCTGAAATAGCCTCTGCTATCAGGCTCCTCTCAGCACTGCTCAGATCTGGCCTGGGTAATTCTTAATTGGAGGGGAGTGGTCCTGTGCATTGTAGGGTGTTTAGAGGCATCCCTGGCCTCTGCTCACGAGTGCAGTAGCTTTCCTTGCCCCTTCCCCGTGGTGATAACCAAAAATGCCTTCCGACATTGCCAAATGTCCAATGTTCCCTAGGGGCCAAAATCGCTTAGTTGGGAAGCATTGAGTTAACACAAGCCACCAGTCCCTCCCTTCCCCACAGCAGCCTGCTAGCCATGTGGCACTTATCACACTGCTCCACAGTGAATGCATGTGGTTCTTCCTGCCCTGGCTGCTGACTATAGGATGGGGGGATGGGCGGGGGGCGGGGGGCGGGGTGGCCAGGTTCCAGCTGAAATCATATTCAAATCCCTGTCCCTGGGGGGTGGGAACGGCTGGTGAGAGGTCAATGGGGAGAAAAGGAGACTTGTGTACTTCTTTAAACAATAAAGAATTTAAATTTTAAAAAATAAAAAATAAATCCCCGTCCCTACCACTTACCTGTGTGACCTTTGGCCAATTACTTGGCCTCTCTGAGCCTACATTTCCTCATCTATAAAAAGGAAATAATAGCTCCACCCCAGAGGGCTGTGTGCCCGACAGACACAATGCCAGCCCACAGCAAGGGATGGACAGATGCTAGCTGTTGTTATTAATGAATGTCCTGAGCTGTTAGAGTCGCCCAGGGCATGGCAGGGGCTGGCAGCGTCTGGGAGTTCTCTGATGTTCATGTTTGCAGGAAGGGTAGTCAGCGAAGGCTCCAGAGAGGAGGTGACACCTGATGCAGATCTTAACGGACAAAGAAGCCTGCCCCAGGCAGCCGGTGCCTGGCTCACACGTAAGGGTTTGCGGAATATACACGTGACACCACGGTCACGTGCTTGTTTGGGAAACACAGGCCCCGAGACTCCTGAGCGATCTTTCTTGCCAATCATGGGCTCTTACAACCCCTCCCTGCAGACACTCCCCCGGCACCAGCACTCACCCACCCAGGCAGCTCCCCTCGGTGGTTTCAATGACTTTTAATAGGAACTCTCCTGTGTCTGTCTGTCCCTCTCTCCAGAGACACGGGGACATGCAGGACAGGGGGACGCAGTACAGTGTGTGGACATGTCACTCCCTTCCCCCCCAAAGGGTCAAGTAGAGGATGGCGCTGTGGCATCCATGCCTTTCCCGCCGCCCGGGAGGTCTGCCGAGTCACCATCTGCAGGGACAGCGTGTGGCTCCCATGACAGGAGCCAGGGAAGAAGGGGCTTCCGCAGTCCCGGCTGAGGACTTGAGTCTGATCCAGGTCTTGGTGTCGGCCCTGAAGCTTGAAGCAGAAGATCCCAGGGCTGCCGCTCTGCGTGGGAGCTCGGGGCTGGGGGGGGGGGGGGGGGTTCCCACGCCCCTAGAGGCCTCGGGGCAGCTGGGTACGCCCCCATCTGCTCACGTGTCACTCATGGAAGGACCGGAGGAAGGGGGCTGGGTTTTTGAGGAAGACAAGTGGAAAAGGGTGAGCTGTTCAACGCAGTGAAAGCGAACGAACAGCCTCCCCCGGGGCTGGGTGCAGAGCACCAGGAAAGTCCCAGCCCAGGAGGTGTCCTGGCCCCTGGCCTGCGGCCCAGGCTCTCCAACGGCAGCTCCAAGAGCAATGGGAGGTCAAGAACCTGGAGGCTGGACGGGGTCCCTGGGATCCCGGGCAATGGTTGTTGGCAGAGAGGAAAGTGTCCGCAGTGGCTGGGCTTGGCCAATTAGGGATCGACGAAGGAGACGGCGATGTAGCGGGTGCCCTTGGTGGTGGGGAGCCCCTCGTGGTAGTGCGTGAGTCTCCCAGGGTGCATGAGGGCCCAGCCCTTCCGTGGGGCTCGGATGGAGCAGTTGTAGCGCAGGAACCGACAGCCACCGCCCTAGGAGACGCGAAGCGTCAGTTCCCCAACAGGAAGCGTCAGTTCCCCAACAGGAAGCTGGGCCCTTCCCCCACCACCCCCTCTTCTTCC